CCACTGGCAGACATACACTGAACAAGTGGCGAAATCTCTCCATTAAATACATGAACATCAACGCGTTATGTTTTTTTCACAACGTTAACTTGTATGTGGCGTGTCCGCTGGTTATAATTATGTACTACTGTGGGTACATAATTCTTGATCTTTTTTTACTTTGTTTATAATATTATATAGTAAAAAGTAATACCTCTATAAGTAAAATAAAAATCAAGTTTATTTAGTAATCTTCAAAGATATTGTTAAATTAATATTTAATAAACAATTAAGGTAAGTACATTCACTAAGAAGAAAAATAGTTAATATACCTATTATGAAGTTAAATTACTGCATTATATCCAAGGCATCGAATTACACAATATAACCACAATATTACCACAATATATGTATGCAAATAGTGGTATCCCCATATTTATTTGTATAAACTCGGTCATCGAATATTATAGTTTGAAATTAATAATTATTATAATTAACATACGCATCACTTAGAAAATGTTTTGTTTAGAATAACCCATTTTAATACTTAATTTCAGATTTTTCTCGACTTAAGTGGGCTCCCTGTAAAATTATCTAAATTATGAATTTTGACCATTTCTTGTTTTGATTTCCTAATAGGGGTCGGTCTGAACTCTGAAGAAACTCGTGATTAGTTTATTTGTTGGATCATTAAGTGTGACGTTCCGGTCTCTCCAACCTCCTCGAATGATTCGTTCTGAGTTGTAACAGTGAAATCATAGGCGTAGATAAAGTATTTCTTTTTTTTTCGGCTGATCATTAGTACAATATATTATATTGAATAAGATTTCGTACCTACTAGTACACTTCATTGAGGCAGTGGAGTCCCTAAACCCTTTTTTAGGGGAGCGAACTCCATACATTATATATAATATATATATATATATATACAAACACACTATAATTACTAGGTAGTTTACTTGGATTAACTCGGGGTGTGAGATGTTTAAAATGTCGGCTTTTATGTAAAAAAAGTATAATTAACAGTCACAGAATTAAAATATTACTGCACATATTTAATTATTTAAATGTAAATTAGGTAATAAACATTAAAATACAAAAAAAAGATAGTATTTATTGATTGTACACTGTACAGTAATAAAGCAAATTTATGTTATTTAGTAAGGCACCTCACGTCGTCAAGCATCGCATTCACCACCGTCTGGCCAATCATACGACAATGTAACAGCTGCCCAACCTGCAATTTATCGTGCTACAGCTTCAACGTCAAACACCTTGAACAAACTCAAAACACTATTAAATCCATTAATCTCTCTAATAACTGTAATTTTAAACAAACTCACAACAATATTTCCATAATAGTCATTATTTCCAATTTAAACCTCTTATCCACAATCCCCATTCCATATTATATTTGTATACACCGTAATTAAACCATAATCTATAAACCTGTATAATGCACAATATCCGTAACATTTAATTATATTTATAATTATTTGTAATTACTTGTAATAGCACCAGAACTTGTAGAAACATTTTAAATTAAATAAAAAAAAAAAAAAAATGTTATTTAGTGTACCTATTAAAGAATAAAATCGATTCTGTGTTTAGATTTGCAAAGTGATTAATTATATTATTATATCATAATAGTAGTAGACCAACAATTGTTGTCAGCTTCGAATCTCCAGTCAGTTCATATTATATTTTCTTTATTATCAGTCTGCCAGTCTATAATTAATTGCATCTTATGCATCCCTGAGGTTGATAAAAGCCGCTTATAACTGTTATAACCTGTTATAACTATTTGCTCTTGTATCCTTTATCTATTTCTTCAAAAAGGTTTTTCACAGTGTATGATCATCAGCTCAATTATAAATCATTCCATACGAAAAATTATACTGAACGGAGAAGGTATTTCAGCCTATATGGCTAAGTATATTTTATTATTTATATAATATTATGTATTAGATTGCTGTTACTGTAATGTATTTTACTATTATTCGTTATAAACGTTTCCGAAGGGAAAAAACAGTAGTAACTAATCAAAAATGGTAATATTGGAAAACATAAACACAATACTTAAAAAAACAGTTCCAAAAGTCAAAACAGCAATCAATGGATGTCTATTATCTATCTATATAAAAATGGAGACAAAAAATTCGAAATTGCATCAGTTGAGAACGGCTGGGCCGATTTTGCTCAAATTTTTTTTAAGATGTTCGTAATTGCCAGGTGAAGGTTTTTACGAAAGAAAATTTCTAAAAAGTCAACCGAATAATTAGAAAAACTGCAAAAACTATTTATTGATGTCTGGGATTTGAACTCGATACCGTTGTCTTTATTTACTCTATGGTGTATTATATTATATTGGTTGCTATTGGTTAATCGGGCATGTTTGTTGATTTGTATTATTATTTTTTGTAAATATATCTTATATATAAATGAATGACGGTGTGTAGATTAGACCTATGGGAAGAAGATACGCTAATTTAAAAAGGGTTAAATTTGGTTTTTTTTATTCATTGGATTTTAGTACGGTTAGGTTAGGTTAGGTTAGGATTTATAGGTAGGCGGAATTAAGTAAAAACGTCAAACTTGGTATAACTTTGGTACTTTTTGAGTTAAATCATACACTTACGTACAAACAGCACGGGGTCCGCGATCTACCGCTGGTAAATTACCTAACTGATAATGTACTGCTGCAATTCAGAATTTTTATTCCGGGCATCAGAAAAGTTAAGATAAATCTAGAACATCATACACTGAATATTAAATAACGCATTGAACAATGTTTGAGTCATATAGAGTTGGTACATTTAACGGGAAACGAAGTGCACGGGATCAGCTAGTTGATTTATAAATAACAATTATTATGAAATTAAAAAACTTCACAAAGTACTTTCCTAAAAATTTGGATTTTTTAGTTATACTGCTCTACGAGGTGCAAACCAGAATTACATTATTATGTTTATATGACTTTATTGTACACTATAAATAATAACAGAATATTATTATTTGATGTACATTTAATACAAATTATATTTTTTATTTTATTACAGACTATGAGTGTTTGTCACACAATTGTAAATGTGATGCTATATTGTAAAAAAGAAAAATTTGTATGAATATAATAATATAATAATCGGAAGTAATTAATATCGTTATTGATCTTAGTTAATAACTACAATTATTATACATAATGTAAAAGCATCATTTACAGCACATATTTATATTTTTTTTTCTTACACGTTTATGAAGTTTTTCACCATTTAATAATAATATTAACGTACATTTCACCAGCCCCCCCCAAGTTAAAAAACCGTTGTTTTTTCTTCACCATTAATTAGTGTGGAATTTTTGTGAATTTGTGCGAATATTTTCAGAATTTGTGCGATAAAAAATTTAGGACAAATTCAAAAAAACTTTGGGGGGGCTGGTGAAATGTTCGCTGGCCCCCCCTAAGTGTAATTAATCGACTTTTCTGGATTTTTTTTTTACCAAAAATTAGTGCGCCATTAGTGTGAATTTGTGTGACAAAAATTGAAATTTTTCGAGCTACCCTTAACCCCCAAAATAACGTTTTACCGTTTTGGCCATTTCCCCAGCCCCCCCTCGAGGTCGAAAATCCGGCTTTTCTGGATTTTTTTTTTACCAAAAATTAGTGCGCCATTAGTGTGAATTTGTGTGACAAAAATTGAAATTTTTCGAGCTACCCTTAACCCCCAAAATAACGTTTTACCGTTTTGGCCATTTCCCCAGCCCCCCCTCGAGGTCGAAAATCCGGCTTTTCTGGAATTTTTTTTTTACCAAAAATTAGTGCGCCATTAGTGTGAATTTGTGTGACAAAAATTGAAATTTTTCGAGCTACCCTTAACCCCCAAAATAACGTTTTATCGTTGCATCCCTCTTTTTTTTCTGTGTTTTAGATTTTTTTATTTAGATTTCAGCAATAAGTTGTTACAGCTCGCAATTAGAACCCCTACTTTGTTTCAATAGTAATTTTATGTAAGGATTATTTGCAATAAAAATTATAGTCATTTCATATAATAATAATGTGTATAATATTAAAAAAAGACAAACAGGACGTCTAAATTTTAATTTTAATAAGAGTTTCGCGGAACCCTGAAGTGATCTCCGCAGAACCCCGGGGTTCCATGGAATACAGTTAAAGTAACGCTTTTCTATACCATCATAATTCGGTGTTAGGTTGATTGTCCAAACTTTTCTGGACTTGACGATAGGCATTATATGAATGAGACCAATGTCTAATTTATGCACTACAGATGAATGACTCTTGTGAACGGGGCAGCGCTACTTTAGTGGAGACAATATTTAGAGAAATCGATATGTCATTCCCTCAAAAATATTATTCTCTATCTATTTTGTAATAGTTGATTTTACTTGTAATAGGTGAAGATTACTTAAATACATAGAAAAAATGATTCTGCGTAATTGTGTTTTGTCCATGTTGCGCGTGGGCCAGAGAGAGAAAACAAATAGTGCGGTGACATCCTCTTAAGAGGACGTCGCACCCGCATGTGTTGTCTCCGTCTTACACACGTACAACATAAGACATTTTCGTTGTCAAGTTTCAATAGCGTATGGTCAGTTTTGATATTAGAGTGAATTGACTTATTATCAAACTTTTACGTAACAACATTATCTGTGTTCTCTCCTTGTCCAACAAACACGAATATTATTAATTTATAAACAACACCGCACGGTCGTCGGTCACTGGTTATGTCTTGTTTATCACGATCATGAACTAACAATAGCATTGTCCTGCAAACGTGCGGGTTTAAAATAAACACAATCAATTTTTCCTTATCTAATCAAAAAAAAAGATATTTTTATTTTATCGGTTATGTCATTTGTCAATTATCAAATCGTTTTATCAATGCTTTTTTGTTTCTAATATTTTTATGATTACGTTTTAAATGTAATGCTGAAAATTGTAGCTGTTCATAATACTTAAGTTTTAATGTATTGTTTAACTTTTGTTTTTTATTGATTTGTATAAAATGGCTGGAAGAAAGCCCGCTGTTCCACCTTCTCAGATTATAGATGCTGTGTTATTGTTTAAAGATAATGTGATTAATCATGAAAATGGAAGTATGTTTTACCATATAATTATTATTTATACTACATTACCTATATACTATTGTAAAACTTGGAAATATAGACAAAAATTTATAAAATTATGTTTAACACTTACAATGTATACGATTATATTATAATCAAACTATAATACCGTACATAATAAATTATATGATTGAGTTACGGTAGACGATACTGCGAAAAACGCTTCCCACGACGGACAAAATATGATCCGTGTATGTGAGACTTGAGTCTGTTTTACAGTATCGCTATCGAGTACACTCTATATTATACATTTATACATTATACTAAGCCGTGTACAATATACTCGTTTTATATAAATAGCTCTAACACTTTACGGTGTATCGAAAAAGCTAATATAAACATTTGGTGAAAATAGCATGTTAATACCTACAGTTATTATTTTTATAATTACGGCAAAAAACAAAATTGATTTTATTGAAAATGGTGTTGTGCACAAATATTTATTTTTACTTAATATTTTTTTAGGTACTCCAAAGCTTAGGTACTTAGGTTACTGAGAAGGGCCTATACTTACCAAATAAGGCAATTACCTATACTTCTTATTTAAAAATAAATAATATTTTCAAAATTACATTATGCATCATACAATTTAATGTAATAACTAATAAATCAATTGAATAAAAAATTATAAATACAACTTTCATACATTATATTAAGTCTTATTTTAATTGTGGTGTATATATTATATTTTAATATACACTATATGTCACTATATGTACACTATACATGGCCACATGGGTAATACACAATTACAAAATATTTACAAATAATAAACAATATATATGTTCATTTTGGTATAAATGATGCTGCAATGTACAATAATAATGATATTTATTTTAATAGTAGTCTACTATTATTATGAGAATCAGCAAAGTTATCTAAGTATTACTTATATTATCTATATCCAAAAGCTTAACTTCTGACTTTTTTTTAAAAAAAGGTAACAAATTGGATTGAGTTATATGTAGTATGGCATTTCTTAGATATTTCATAATTATTTTCATACAATAAAAAGTTCTTTCACATAGGTACTTCTGAGTGCTGACAAAACTGGTATAGTAGGTAATTTAAATACCTACTATAAAGCTTTTATAAATCATAAAATGCCATTTAATTTTTCATTAGGAATTTACACCTGAAAAATATGTTTTTATATTTTATTTTTTTTATTTTTTATATTTTTATTTATACCATTATATTTAATTTCCAATTGTTTTATTGATTTTATAATGATTTTTAATTCTGAATTTAGTATAATATATGTATCATTATATGTAAGTTATTGACAATTATCTAATGTGTTCTAAGACTTACCTACAGATTATAAAGAAAATTTTCAAGTCTACTAAAGTACAAAATATCCATTATAAGAAATATTAAATACCTATACTTAACTGCAGGAAACAAAAAACTAGTGATGATCAAAATAAGACCAAGACTCTTGCTATTTTCACAAAACATATAAAAAAAAAAACTGAATACCTGTTAGGTATAGCTGTGTGTAGGTTTTTTCCTATGATCTCTAAGATGAAACTTAAGGCCAATATATTATAATATAGTATATAGTGATGATCAAAATTGGTCAGTCAGCTATTATATTACTACCTAACATATTTGATAATATTATTGTGAATAACGTAATTTATATATAACCTATTTACGGGGAAACATGTTTTAAATTTTGTAATCCTTAGCTATAAAAGTTGAACATTTTATAAATTTTCAACTACAAAATAGTTTTTAAATATTAAATTTGATAAATTTTGTCAAAATTCAAACTTTAAAATGCTTATAAAAAAAATTGTGCCCATGTATGTTTTATATTTTTCAACTGTTATTGTACCGTTATATCAGGAGCCTTGCATTAAGGTTCCACGCTTTTTTACCCAACAAAGAAAATTTTATTGAAAAATTGGAAAATGAAAATGTCCATAAACAGCTCAAAAAGAGTCAAATTATTTTAAAAATTTTATGGTGTATATAAAATGCTAATATAAACATTCAGTAAAATTTTCAAGTATATAGGTACAGTCATTCGTTTTTTAATTACAACGAAATAAGAAAATCGTTATATGAGAAATCGAGTGAATATCAGATGTTGTAAAAATATAAACTTCAAACGCTCATAAAAATTTAATTTGACTTTCTTGTAGACATTTTTTTTTTGGATAAAAGTAGACAAACTTATGAGAAATCTTGTATTACATTTTAAAATCTTAGATTTAAAAAGAACATTTTTCATGAATTTCTAACTCAAAAAATTTTGCAAATTTTAGTTATTTTTACGTATTTTGTCAATATTTGAACTTTAGATGCTTATAAAAAAAAATTGTGACTATGGATCTATGTAACATCCAATAGTGGTGAAATACGTAACATTACATAGTATTTGTTACGAAGTTTTTGAGATGTTAGAAAACGCGTTACATTTTCGTTAACGTAACATACGTGTGAAATTATAAAATTAGCGGTACCGTTGGTGTAAATGTAACGCAAAAACAACAACAAATAAAATGCGGGTAAGTGTAATAAGTAAGTGTATTAATTTGCTGTATAATTCATTGTATACGAAAAACGATTCTAAGCAGAGACGGTTGGTCAGTATATGATATTTTATATTATGTTTAAATTGTTATTACCTACCTACTTATTATTAATAGGTAGACTGTAAGTTTAATTAATATTATAAAATTACAAAAAAATTACTAAAATTAATATTCTTGGTTATTTAATATGTAATTTCGTCCAAATTTTAGCTTAAATATCTATGAAAAAATTTAGGAAAAGTGTATACGGTACAGGTGCCAATAATTAATTTGTAAATTTATTTTTCAATAGCACTTGCTGTGGCCACAAATAAGATTTGGAGTGAGATCAGTGAACATTTAAATTATAAATTATCTTCTAATGCAATTCATACATTTGTACAACTAAAAAGGCACGGGATTTGGGAAAAACTAGGTTTTTCCACGAAAAAGACTTTACCAATATTCCCAGATAAAATAATAGGAGTTAAAAATGATCTTGAAAGTGGTGTGTTATTCAATATACTTATTCGATTAAATAAAACCAAATTAATTTACATTTATGTATTTTTCTTAGATGAATTTACTGAGTTGAGTAATGATGATGATTGTATCCCCCAAAAAAAATTTGTTTTTACTTTATCAGCTGAAGAGTGGCAACAAATCCAACCTCAAGAAATTAGTTATAAATTGTCTGATAAAAATAACCCTATTCGGAGTTCACGTTCATATGTAGTTTTACCAAAAGGTACTTGGACTCCAGTGCTTGCAGAGCATTTTTGGATACACACAGAATTACCTTGTTGTATATCCTTCAAAAGAGCAAAAGTTTTTCCTAATGGACAAGTATATGTTAAAGTCGTAGGACGTTGCTCAGTTTGTGAATCATACTTTGAAGGATTTGTATCTCAAAGACCAGAAGAAAATGCCAAGTATACATTTATTGTTAATTATTATAGCTAATTTCAGTTATTAAAATTTTATAAAAAAAATATCAGGGTTCTTATGTATTGTACATATAAAGGACATTTTCATGAACAGCACAAAGCTAAAAAGAGACGAATAATTGGCCCAGCCAAAGATAGAGCAGTTTCATCTCTTTCTGAAAACGGAATGTCAAGTGAAACATATAGGGAATTAGAAGCTAATCGTGTTATGAAAATAGGTATGTGCCTATTCCAAAATTATTTAAAATATTAATTAATTAACCTACAGAGCTCGCATTTGAACAAAAAAATTGGTTTTACGTGATATACAATATAAACGTTATACAATTTTTGCGTTTGTCGTTATTTAAAATTAAAACGTTCTACAACTTTTGCGATTATCGTTTATCGTTTATAATATATAACGCGGGGAGTGGTACAGATACGGAATATAATAAATTCTTAGATTGACTGCTAAGATAAAAATAAATCTCGTGGAATAAATATATCCACGAATTCAATAATAGGTATTGTAATTATTTAAGTAAATGGATATTATTATTTTTAATTTTGCGTTTTTTTTTTTGTCATATATAACGTTATAATCATAACGTCATTATAATGTTTGCAAGCCCTGGACTTATGTGTTATTAATTATTATTTTTGTTTTAAATATAATTATCAAAATTATAAATTGTTTTAAGTTTTCAAAAGGTTTTAGTTTTAATGGTATACATTTTTTTGTATGGGTTATGATTAATTATTGGTTGTTATTAAAGATTATGCCGTTCCGAGACCAGTGCTTTTTGGTTCAATTACAATTCATTAGTTCTATATTCCAATAAATGTAATAGGTAATTAATGGACACAATATATATATTTAGGTGCTGAAGAACCTGCAATATTACCATCAGGTAATGCGTTGAGAATCCTCAAATATCGTAGCCTTGAAGCACGGAAAAGACACAAAGATACTTTAACAGCCTTATCAATTATGAGAGATGAGGATGATTTTAAGAATGTCATTCGTAATATTAGCGTATATCCATTTTTTTAAAATTATCATTGTGGTGAACAAATTCATATTTATCGAAGTTACTGTAGTAATATCACTCACCCGCGACTGATAATAGATGCTACAGGCTCTGTAGTTAAAAACTTTTACAAGTTTGGAGTAGAAAAAACTAAACATATTTTTTTATATGAAGCTCTTGCTTATGACAAGGTGAACCAACGTGGGTTTACTGTAACTAATATGTTAAGTGAAAAACATAATAATTCGACCATTTTTATATGGTTGTCTGAATGGTTAAACTGTCATGTTCAACCACCTAAAGAAACAGTGTGTGATATGTCATTAGCGCTACTGTCAGCCATAAGTCATTGTTTCACTCAGTACTCATCATTGAATGATTATATTAACGTTTGTGCTGATTTTGTTTTAAATGAATTACCACTCCGAGAATCTCATTGGCTACCAAGGTATGTATAACATAAATCAATCAAAACGCATGAGCATCTATATTTTTGTTAACTATTCTATACAATTATATAATTAGGTATAACGAAATATTATCATCTAAGTGAAAGAGATAGTGGTTACTGGTTATTTTACAATTATTTTAATTTGCTTCTGTGTACAACTTTCTGACCAAAAATGTTTATACTATACATAAACATAAACTCAACACCTTTTCTGAGTTCAAATTGGACCAAGGTTTCACTTTGATGGGGTTGCTTATAAATATTTTAATATTCAATTTTTTTTTTAGATTCTGAGCGGATCGAGGAAGCTATAGTGGTTTTACAATGGTGTTAATTTTTTATTTTTTATTTTTTTATATCCTGTATACAAAATTTCTACCAGAAGAAGTCCTTCGATTTCAACATATAGTACCTTATCTTTTAGCAAATTGGATCAAGATGGTACTTTAAAGAGGTCATTTTTAGATTTTCTCAATAGTTATTTAATGCCATGGGAAAAACTACTGACCAATTACAAAAAACCGCTTAAAATGGGATTTTAATTTCTAACGATTTGTTTATCACCGTGACACCGTAGCAACGAATAAAAAATTATAATATTAATTCTACTTGAAGGCTATAATAAATAATAAAAATTTAAAAAATCCATATTGATAAACCGTTTCCGTTCAGAATCATTTTTCGAATACGATGATTTCTAATTTTTTTAAAAGTTGAAATCATAATTCATAACACACAACTTTTTAAACTTTTCTTTTGTTCAATAATATATTTTTAATTATTTTATAAATTATTACATCGCAGTTGTTTTATTATCATTTTTATAATTATTAGTAGTAGTAGTAGTATTGGAAGTAATAGTAGCAGTATTAATAGTTCTTTTACATCTTGTCCAAAAAATTACTTTAGTTGTATATATCACTTTGTTATAAACGGTGTTTGGCTTAGCGTTTATTAAATCTCATTTGAATATTTTTTTAATAATCGTCATATTATCTATACTCTGTTCAAAATAAGACAGTGACCCGGCGGCCGAGTTGTGCGCATGGGCGTGGCTTTGTTCGGTGGCAGTGCCCGACGCGTCGCCGTAGTGGGGACGGCATCTGGCCAATTGGCCATATGTCTTACCGCCGCCCGACGAAAACTGGTCACGGTCTTATTTTGAACAGAGTATAGATAATAAAAAAAATTTCAAATTATAACTAAATAATTTTTTCCTGAAATTATATTATTATCCATCTATTATCTCATCTAGATTATAGATGATTGTATTGCAAAGTAAATATTATATTATCTAATATATACAAAACTATTTAGTTACCTATGCCTTAAACTGGTTATAATAAATTATTGTTATTAATATATTTAGTAATTGATTATTTTTTTAAGGTGTTTTATCAGAGTAGACGTAGCACATTTCATCAAGTTAATAACTAAATGGGTGCCACTGAAATCAGTATCCAAACGTGTCAGGGAAGTCATTCTTCGAGTAATTGGACTTATGGTTAAATGTCAAAATATTTCGGATATAAAAAAAATTTTGATTTCTCTATTTGTTGTAATTACAAATGAAACTGATGGTTCTGACATAAACACTGGATTAGCTACACCGTGTGAATTACATAAAAGAGAATTGATCAACTTTACATCGACAGGTTGTTTAAACATATATTTTACACAAAAAAAATTGTAATATTAAGTATTAAATTATGCACTGGTATGTTTTAAGGTACTATAAATGAAGACGAAGAAATAATGTTCAATGATGACCAGGAATCCATATTGGAAGAAGATGACAATCCGGAGGAGGGTCTACTAGGATACAACCCATTCCAAACCTGGGCTGAGAACATTTATGAAAACAGCACGCATTATATAAAAGAAGGAACAGGGATTAATGCCATGTATTTACCGGCATTGGTTCCATATATAACAAAATGTATGAAACTATTACCTCTATGGTCAGGTATCATGGTTCCAATATATGGATATGGTGATGAAACTGCTAGTTCTGCCGCAGTTGAGTCGAGTTTCAAAAAACTTAAAACTGTGACATTCAAACAAGAAAATTTACCGATTACAATTGAAGACTTTTTACCACGTCATATTTATTCACTACGAGGAGCATCCCTAATTCACTCAACTAAAACTTCAAAGCCACCAAACAACAATGACGAAATTAATAGACAATCAAAAATAACTTCTCAATCAGACAACAAAAGACTTATTGAAACTCATCAAAATGTTGAAGAAGTTGAACACACAAACATGGTTTTTGAACAGGAAAATGATTTTTTGATAATTCCTGAACAATCAAATTGTCCACTTTGCTCCGAAGGTAGCGATACAGGAGCACATAAATGTTTTTACTGTGGAATACCAGTTCATCCTATTTCCGCATGCTCAACTTATGTACCTGGTAATGATGACATGCGAGTTTGTATTATTTGTTCATTGGTAGAAACTAATGTAAATGAGGAGAATAATGCACGTGAAACTTGGTGTAGGATGAATAAGAAACAACGTAAAACTAAATCATACCTCCAACCTAATCCACATTTAAGACATTTGAACTTAAATAACTCCAAACAGATCAAATCGCTACCGATTCTAAAAAATGGTTCACGTTCAGAAGAACTTAAAAGCTGTAAATCTAAAGTTACAAAAGGAAAAATCGTACTGACGAACACGTGTGCATTTGATTCATTGGCTTCTCTAGTTATGGTACCTATATTTTATATAATATATTTAGTTTTGAATCGTTGTAAAATTGTATATATTATATTTTACAGGTATCGTATTGTGATAGCAAACCATATGCCGAAAAAATTGATTCTGTTGGACAAAGTCAATTTCTAAATTTTATTTCAAAAATTATCAAAAATGGTATTACATCTTCAACATATACAGAACGAGCTGATATTATAATAACAAAGTTGAATCCAGAATTAAAATTGATGGAATATAACACTACGTTGGCTATTTGTGACTCTACTATGGGTAATGTTATACGTTCAATGTTGACAGAATTTCCAACAATAAAAGAGGCTATACGATGTACATCAAACTGTCAAACAAAACTTAATACACTAGTGTATTTAACATATCAAACGGAAAATGGTCATATACAGAATTTGCAACAATTTATTGATAATCGCCAACACATTAAAAAATCAAAATGTACACAAGACGTGTCTGGAAACTATTGTGATGGGGTGAAAGAAATAATATCTGAATTCTCAGATATGCATTTGTTTATTGATGTTCTTCATTGGGAAGGTAATCTTTTTAGTTTTTTTTATATATTAAAGTAGATAGAAACATATAGGTATGGAGTTTCAAGTTTGATGATGAATTAGAGAATAAACGTTATGAACAAAAATCATAACGATTTGCGAGTAGTTTCTAGATAATGATTGTACCATAGTGAAACGAAATCAGTTTTGAGTACTATCTAGATACCTTATACTAACACCCAATCTTTTTTATCTCCTCTAAATACATTTTAATTTAATTATATTTTGTCTAGTTAAAATGTTTATAATTTTAACTCAACAACGTTATTTATAAACATACCTATAATATAAAAAAAAAAGTATACAATGGTATGTTATGTATATTGTATATAGATAAATAATATTAATAATTAAAAGAACAAAGAGAAAAATATACTGTAAAATAAAAACAAGTTAATTGCATTTATACCAACGTCAAACCCGAATTATATTTCATAATATTGTTTCAGGAGAAAATGTGATTTCTAAAGACCGCAGCTCTGAAGCAGCAGCTCAGGTGAAAGAAAAGTTATGTGATATTCCACAAATTTTACAGCATAACTCAAAAACATATGAGCTTAGAGGAGTACTTAGCTTCAAAGCCGGCAAAACTAAATTGAGAAATTCAATTGGGCATTATTGTGCCTTCGCAAAACGAGGGACAAGCAACTGGGAACAATTCGATGACATGAAAAAAAAACCAATTCCTATCAAAGATACAAAAGTTGTAAATTGCGAATTTCTTGTATACTCAATATAATACAAATTAAATGTTAAATGTTAAATTTTTAATTTGTTTATGCATTTCATTTCAAAATAATACTGAAACAACAAATTTTAAAAGTCCAACAGTGTCAAACAAATCGAGGTGATCATTTATAACATAAATTATGCCTTAACAAACTGCCAGTGTGGAGTTGACAGCGCTAAAGATGAAATTAGCCCTCCAGTAAAAACAAAGACCGATTAATTTTTAAAGGTTGTCCAATAATGGTCCAACATTAACCAAAATATTTGTAATATGGTATACAATAAATCAGTGTCCACTAAAGTAGCGCTGCCCCGTTCACAAGAGTCATTCATCTGTAGTGCATAAATTAGACATTGGTCTCATTCATATAATGCCTATCGTCAAGTCCAGAAAAGTTTGGACAATCAACCTAACACCGAATTATGATGGTATAGAAAAGCGTTACTTTAACTGTATTCCATGGAACCCCGGGGTTCTGCGGAGATCACTTCAGGGTTCCGCGAAACTCTTATTAAAATTAAAATTTAGACGTCCTGTTTGTCTTTTTTTAATATTATACACATTATTATTATATGAAATGACTATAATTTTTATTGCAAATAATCCTTACATAAAATTACTATTGAAACAAAGTAGGGCTTCTAATTGCGAGCTGTAACAACTTATTGCTGAAATCTAAATAAAAAAATCTAAAACACAGAAAAAAAAGAGGGATGCAACGATAAAACGTTATTTTGGGGGTGAAGGGTAGCTCGAAAAATTTCAATTTTTGTCTCACAAATTCACACTAATGGTGCACTAATTTTTGGTAAAAAAAAAATCCAGAAAAGCCGGATTTTCGACCTCGAGGGGGGGGCTGGGGAAATGGCCAAAACGGTAAAACGTTATTTTGGGGGTTAAGGGTAGCTCGAAAAATTTCAATTTTTGTCACACAAATTCACACTAATGGCGCACTTATTTTTGGTAAAAAAAAAATCCAGAAAAGCCGGATTTTCGACCTCGAGGGGGGGCTGGGGAAATGGCCAAAACGGTAAAACGTTATTTTGGGGGTTAAGGGTAGCTCGAAAAATTTCAATTTTTGTCACACAAATTCACACTAATGGCGCACTAATTTTTGGTAAAAAAAAAATCCAGAAAAGCCGGATTTTCGACCTCGAGGGGGGGCTGGGGAAATGGCCAAAACGGTAAAACGTTAATTTGGGGGTTAAGGGTAGCTCGAAAATTTTCAATTTTTGTCACACAAATTCACACTAATGGCGCACTAATTTTTGGTAAAAAAAAAATCCAGAAAAGTCGATTAATTACACTTAGGGGGGGCCAGCGAACATTTCACCAGCCCCCCCAAAGTTTTTTTGAATTTGTCCTAAATTTTTTATCGCACAAATTCTGAAAATATTCGCACAAATTCACACAAATTCCACACTAATTAATGGTGAAGAAAAAACAACGGTTTTTTAACTTGGGGGGGCTGGTGAAATGTACGTATAATATTAAAAAAAACGTGAGTAGCGTTTTGGTCATGTTTTATGAAGTCTTATACAAATGTATTAATGTTTATGTGAAATAAATTAAAATTATATAATTATATAATTAAACAGATGTTCTTATTGGCTACCTGTGACCTATTGCTTAATGCCGATTGGTTTTACATTTATGTGTTTTTTTATTTTATTTTTGTGTCTGAATATCTGAACACGTTTCCCAGTGGAAAAAGTTCTCCAATCATTAACACCGAGGGAGGCTTCTAGTAGCAAATTTTGTCTAAAATTGTACATTGGAAGTAGATCAGGTAATAAAATATGAACATTAGTTAAAATTATTGAAATAATTGTTTAATAACCCTGGTTAGGTTGGACCAAATAGTTGGGCTGTCTCTGCTCAGAATCGTTTCTATCAAATACCTTTAAATATTTACCATTGAATTCAAATTGAATATATCCTTTACAGTGACCTACTCATTGACCGGGTACACTCGACACCTACTGTACAATATATTATCTTGTTTTTTTTTTTTTTTTATGAATCTTTTGTATCAATCATTGACATTTGATATATTTCACTCCTACTTAAATGAAACTTTCTAATATTCTAATTTAAACTACATCTATATTATATGCATTTCAAATCTTCACATTTTTTCCGTGACTCATTACGAGACGTTTTCAGAAGCCGAGATTGGTCGTATTGTTCTAGTATTCGTAATCATCACTCACCACTTACCAAACGACGACAAATTAAAAATATTTCAACACAACGGTCACGTTTGATTAGATAACAATCGTGTGATGTTACCATTTGGTATATTTGATATCAAAAGTATGGTCAATAAATAAAAGTGGTTGTGTAAAAATACACCATGACATTTGAAAGTGTGCACTGGTTTTAATGATTTCTGTATAATTTATCGAACATGGTCACCGGGTAAATTCCGTTGTGGTCGTCTTCCAGTCTATCATCCGGTACACGACAAGTTAAGAAGACGTCGTATTATTATAGAACACAAATTATCAAACCTAAATATACAAACATTATCTGTGTTTTTAAATAGAGATATTTTATAATATTTCGTTTTTCAAACGAGTTTCAAATTTGTAAAATATTACAACATAATTTGTTTAATAATAATTGAATATTGTAGAAAACCAACGTATAAACAATGTTCTTAAATAAATAATTTATTATAGAATCATTCACTCAATTATTAAAGTTAACAACACAAAACTCGTTTTGCAATACGTACCTAAATATTGTCTATGTTGTATGCTCACGTGATATGCGGACAATACGTCAATAGCAAGATGCGCGTTTGTTAAGATGGGAGATATGACCCACGACAGAAATGTACCTGAATTGCCTATCCATAACGCCGTGTAACTATAATTTTAAGTTCTTGCCTAAGATATATAATATGGGATACCTATACCTATATGTAATAATAGATTAATTATTTATAGAAAATCTACACTCACGCTGGACATCTGCATAACCGCTTGTAAATACGTTTCGTCCTTTTCCGCCTTCTTTTGGAACCTGACCACTTGTTCCGGATCGTCCAGATTTATGTCTTTGGGCCAACCACCTTCGGTATGGAAAATCCTACGTTCGACATACTCCACGCTCACAGTTTTTGCCTACATAACAATGCACCGTAAAAATCTATTAAGCCCGACGGTGGTGGTCCTCATATCATTGTTCCGGATGGTATAGTATAGTTTCTTATAGGTATAGATGTTATAGTTGTACTACAACTACACCTAATGTAACTTTATACTCTTAGGTGCACATTGTACCCCTTGTGTTAAAAACTTTGTCTCTTTTGTGTCGTTGTTGAATGCACCAAACCCGTCTATTGTCCATAAGTGAATCATACTGAGATATGCACCACTCTTCTCTATGTAAATTATAATTTACACACCTGTAATAACTGTTGGATGCATTTAAATATTTGGTTTTAATGCTATACACATTGACAACCTAACCAAATTGTATAGTTTTATTTTTATGGCATTTGATTAAAAGTATTTTGTCAGTACTTTAAATTTTATAACGAAAAAGATATATTGACCGTACTTATGACGACGTTGTTTTTAATGATAAATCATAACATTATTTATACCTAACAGTATTCTGCCGTATTCTTCTGCATTACGGTTTCGAACAGTTTCCTTTAAACATATAGTCATTAAACTGTCTCATAATGTGGTTATAGTAATATATATTATATTCTTCTGTTAATCGCGTTATATTATCATTATACATGTTAAAGCATAAGTTTAAGAAGTTGTAAATCCTTGGGCATTTAATTTGTCACGGTAAACGCCATGCAGGATCAGCTAGTATAATTATATTATTTAAATATCTATCAACAATTAAAATTCAAAAGTTAATAATTTAAAAAAACATATTATATTATTATACCAATATTTACCACCAGAGGCAGATTTCCTCTGTCTAGGGTGGTAAAAATTAGAGGAGGGAAGTACTGTAGTGCTTTATTAAAATATATCTTACTTATAAAAGAGTATTGAAATTAAATTTCTTTATATTTACGAAAAATAATTGTATAATAATTAATAATGTATAATATATTTTTGTGAGTATAATATAATTTGAATGTGGCCACAAATGACTTATCAAACTCGAAAGCCACTGCATCACAAGTTTAAAAACTTTAAATAACTTTCAAAAAAATAAGTAGGTAATGGACCGAATTCAAACCCTGTGACCCAGTCACTATCATCATATTATTATAGTGTACGCAAACGTGCGGTTGACATTGACAACACCATACACGCACATTTCTGCATATTATACAATTCTTGGAAGGTATCGTAGACCATAAATATAATTAAAAAGGCATCAGTACATTAATCATAAATTATTCATAACCAATTTTCATACATTTTTTTAAAAGGCAACAGTTAATAAATTTATTATGTGTTAGATTGGTTCACTAGTCCACCTCAGTCCTTTACAGCAGTCACACACATGCAGTTGAGTAAACATAAAGCAATGGTACCTCCTGTAAGGTGTACTTTGTTACTAAACAATTTTAAAATAAAATTTAATTTAATTTTTGTAAATCATTATTTATATAATAAATACACAACTGAATGAGAATTAAAAAAAAATTGTATTGGGTAAGTATTACTATTTACTTTGAATAAATTGTAGAATCTAGGTTTTTACTTCGACCTGTGCAATTTCAAATACACGAATTTTTCAGTGGTTAAAAATTCAAGTCAATTTCACTGGATGTCTATTATTGATTTATAAATAACAATTATTATAAAATTAAAAAACTTTACAAAGTTCTTTCCTAAAAATTTGGATTTTTTAGTTATACTGCTCTATCTCAGTGCAAATCAGAATTACATTATTATGTTTATATGACTTTTTTGTACACTATAAATTATAACAGAATATTATTTGATGTACATTTAATACAAAGTATAAATTTTATTTTATTACAGACTATGCGTGTTTGTTACACAATTGTAAGTGTAATG